AAATTTTAAAAGCGTTAACAAGATACTTAGAGAAGCCGAGCGCGCGCACTGTGGCGAGCATTGTAATACTTGTTTCGACATTTAGATTGTTGTTTTGCAAAAGCAGTGTGATCCTGGGGCTAGATATGCAGGCTTCCTCTCCCGCACTCAGCGACTAAAAACTCAACTTACAAAACATTAGCAAGTGTCAGTCATTTCCAGCTTTTTTAAAATTTGGAGAAGTCAATTTGTGTTCAGAGACATTAGTGGGAGCGTTTTGCTGGACTGATAAAAACTGACTTTAGAACAACGTGCAAATGTTTAACTACCCGGGATACACAGAAGTTTGTCAAAAATGGTTTTGTGTACGCACTACAATCTTTTAGAAATGTAATTTCTAGTGAATCACTTTGCAGTGTGTGGTAACTGCCTTGCATTAGGTCCGCGTCCAACTTTGCACCATTGTTGCGGTATTAACAAAACAATGGCGAAATAGACGACAAAAGCAGCAGAGGACTATGCAAAACGTCCATCAGATTCATCCTAACGACGCTTTTCGGTAGGTCCGGACCATTTAACAACAGTTCTGCAAAAGAATGAAATCCCGTCGACCGTTTTCTGCTGGGCTGCAAAATGATCAGCACCGATGCATTCCACTTTAACGATCTGTTCGTGTAAAGTTTATCGGTCCCCTGACCCAGGAACGACGAGTCTTCTTCAACAACCTTCAATTAATCAATTACGAACGGTTACCATCCGTCACGTCTGTAGCCTTATTTTAGGCGGTAAGCTGCAAAACACTTGCAATACTAAATGGCATGTGAAGTGCTCTTATGTTGACGCGTGTCCTGTCGCGATTGGCCACCTATATACCATGGCCTTGTGATTTATACATGTGGTCACTAGTCAAAGAATGCAGCACTTCTTTACCTTTAACCACAGCTTTCTCCCACCGGGGCGGATCTAGCCTGGAGTTGTTGTTTTGTTTTTTTTTTGGGGGGGGGGGGCAACTGTTCGTCGCCAACTGGCTGGTGTGGGATCCGAGGTCCAGTGCATGGTGCCGACACCATTCAAAACCGAAAAGCACCGAAATACTTTTGAATCTTAAACAGAAGTTAAAACAAAACAGCTAAAACATTTAAAGTTCAAACAGACGGTAAGTAGACGAAACTTTTATGAAGTTCTGGGAATGCTTGGGAGTGGCCAAAACATACTCTTAGAGGTTTTCGGGGCATGGCCACGTGCCCCCCCCCCCCTCCCCCCCAGGATCCGCCGATGTCTCCCACTTGGCAGCGCCCGGATACCATCCTTGGTGCTTTCTTTCGTTGTCTTTCAAATCGATTCTCATGTGCAAGTTTCTTAGTCTCTGTATTTGCTACCCCCCCCCCCCCCTCCCGAAGGCTTATGCAAACACATTTTAAACTGTTAGTTCTGAATCTTTAAAAAATGCTTCTCAAAGTACGAATCCCAGGAACCGCTCCTGGTGGGCCTGATAGCGCAAAAACACGCAATATTTCACGATAAAGTGGCAGGTACGGTTCATTTTGCACAATGCCCGATCCTTTTTTCTGAATTGAGTTAAAATTTGTCTATCCAAACTGACCTCCTTTAGGTCAAGCCGAATGCATCTGAGGTAAAAAGCAATTTGAGCCTTACGGAAAACCAGCAATGGGAGGTCTGAACTGAGATGCGTTATTTGAAGCAGGTGCAGTTTTTTTTAAAAAGCTAGCAATTTCATCTGAAATGTCAGCTGCAAATGCCAAGCACAGCAATAACGTGTGCAAAACAAACAAAGCAATCTAAACGACAAATGAAGCATGCTACAGCTGGACACACAAAAGAAGAGCAAAGTCTTTTGTGTATGTGTTGAGAGAAAAATATCCATTGGATCAGCGGGTGTTCCGTTTTTTATCTCGTGCTCCACGTTCGTTTCTCCACCTCTAACGAACCATGTCAAACGCTCACACTCGCTTGTCTCCGCTCGCGCCTCTCCTACTCATTCGTCTGCTTTGCCGTTCGTCGATCATTAGACCGCCGGTCTTCCGCGCTGGCGCCGTTAATTCAACAGCGTTAGCCTGCAAGCCGTGCCTCCATTTGAGGTTTATGGTGACTAGAAGCAGGCCGTTATTATTTCACGTCACATCCCTGGTCTTGCCCGGCCAAGACCTCTGAATCCTCGACGCTAAATATCCAGCATGAATTGACCTGGGCCGGTACATGGCGGCAGTCATGGCTCCCTTGTCGCACGCTTAGCGTCCACAGAAATAAGATATCTACCTTCATCTGAGGCAAATGGATGATTGCCGTCCTGCCTCGGCCTCGCCGGCTGCCCGCCAATGCAATCTCTCCCCGTCAGGGGGTCGTACGTCATTTCCGGCGGAAATCGAGCGCATCCGGCGCCGCCGGGCTGGGTCTGCCAGCGCGGGCCGACGGGATCATCCGGGACCGTGTCGGCATCAGGATCAAGACGCGCATCCGGGTGTGGCGACGAACCAGTCCAGTCCGTGGTCAAGGGAACGACGTGGAGGACTTGTGCCTAACGGACTGAAATCTGGCCCCAGGAACGGAACGATTTCGGACCCAACCGGTGCGTGTGGTTACCTGGTAGCTGGTCACACTAGAGGGCTTGCCGACCAAGGGGAGGTGGTTTCGAAGATGTAGTGTCGGACAGAATGAATGCAAGATTTATTCACATTTGTCTCCATTATCATAACCGGTGACAACATTCGCTTTTGAAATGAGAACATGCTGCGTGGAGGGTTTAGGATTTTCCAAGACTATCATGTTTCGCGTGTACTCTGAACGTAGAGTCAATGCATGCTAATTTTCAAAAGAGCTTATTGTAGAAAGAAACAAGGGCACGTAGACCCTGTTTCAAACGAAGCCACGGAACTGAAACAGGACTTAAACAAAGGAAAGTGATGAAACCGAGCTGAACACCCCAATCCATTTCTTGACTGAAGCACACCGTCTGCACTTGACGTCTGTCGTCCGTCCACTTATTTGCCGTTCCGAACAAAGAACTCATCTCCGAACCGGCCAGAGCCAGCGCAAAGAAAGCGAGCGTCAGCATGGCTCCCATTTCACCCATTTCCCTCACCATCCCCCACTCCCACCTCCTCCCCCACGAGCCTCCCCCGGCGCCGGGCCCACCCCGGAAGCGGGTCCGTCGACGCCGACTGAGTGGTCGTCGGTCTCGACGTGGCCGCTAACGATGCTCGGTTACAAACGACGGGCGGCGGCGGCCGGCCGGAGTCGATGATGAACGGCGCCGATGGCGCGAGCGGAGCGTGGCGGGAGCCGGCCGGAGCGACCGACGACGGCGTCACGTGCCCTGAGCGGCCGGAGCGGCCGACGACGGCGTCACGTGCCCTGAGCGGCCGGAGCGGCCGACGACGGCGTCACGCGCCCTGAGCGGCCGAAGCGGCCGACGACGGCGTCACGTGCCCTGAGCGGCCGGAGCGGCCGACGACGGCGTCACGTGCCCTGAGCGGCCGGAGCGGCCGACGACGGCGTCACGTGCCCTGAGCGGCCGGAGCAGCGGCAGCCGGTGGGCGGGGAGGGCGGCTAACGCAGAACCACGCCGTGGGCGGCTCGGGGCGAGTGCTTCGCATTCAGCCTCCGGGACTGCCTCGGCTCAATTTGTTTCAGGTGAGCACGGTGCAGTATCAAACAGAAAGTATTTGTTTTGGTCATCGGCACAAGCTGTGATTACTCAGAGTCATGGCTTAGGGCGTAACATTACATCCTAACTTGTGACGAGACAGCAGCACAGGTCCCTATTTCATATCTATCTTTGATATCTGGACCTGATGTTGCATGTCATGTAGACCCGTTGGAGGTCATGATAGTCATATGACTCACGATAACCAGGTGCATGACATCTCCAGTCGCTGATTAATCACTCCCATTCCGGCCATCCGCACCCCGCTTCTTACGCGGCTAATAAAGTCGATTTCCACAATCACCGCCATGCTCAAAGTTTCCGCGTTCAAGCCCCATTTGGCTAAAGCCGAGAACGTCCCGTCTCAAGGAACTTAATGCTTTCGAGATTTGCATCAGCCGTATCAGCGAGCTCGGCTTCCGAACTTTGAGTTTGTACGCGGGTCCAATCCTGAGCTCGGCTGCCGCTCCCGGCCGGGCGAGATCTCATCAGGTGGAGGACGGCAGCCAGTCCCAGTGCCCTCTTCCGGGTGCAATCCAGGCTGCATTGGCCTCATCAAGTGTGACCGACGTGACCTGAAGGGGTGAGCGCGTGCCCCCTGCCGTGTCGGAGGGGACGCCCGAGCGCGTCGCACTTACGCGTGGACAGCTCACTGGGAGAACCGGTTGTCATTGTAGATCGCAGCAGGTCGCAGATTCTACATAAGGGCACCTTTACACTGTGGAGGTGCATTCATGGTCTGCTTGAAATACAAGGAATGGTCCTGTCTTCGTGACAGTCGCCCTCCTCGAGGCGTGCGTGTTGGTCTCAACCCGATCACAATGCTGCAGTCTATTAAAACTTGGAGCAAACGTGGAGCATACACGGGATGACGGTCAAAGAAGAAAATAAGAATTCAGAAGGACTTTTTGCGCACGAAACAACAAGAGAATCCACGTAATCACCTGACACCATGCGTGGTTACCGGTACACTGTTCGGAAGCAGCGGCTTCTGATCGATACACGACATCGGTGCATATATGAAGTTGATTTCCAAGTTCTTTGCTAGAAGAAGCTTCAAGTTTATTCAAGCAGTTTCATTGCTAAGGCCATGAAACACTAAAGCCAAATGAAGCATATTCGTATCTGCATAAACAAAATGAAGTTTTTTTCATATACTACACTAATGTATGCTTAAACATATCTTATACTCACCATCGAGTTGCATATCACTCAAGAGTGAGTCGATGATATTATATGATCTAGCATCCACCTTGGAGGAAGCTTCAGACAAATTAGCTGCTATCAGGCTACATACAGATGGACAGCAGATGACATCAGCAAAGAGTCTCAGCTCACCCATCAGTAGAGGACTCACCTTTGGTGTCAAAAGGTCACGAGCCTCAAAGTGGCTTGGCGAGGGGGTCACCTGAAACAGAGCAGCTGCGTCATTGCTGTGAAAGTGTACTAGCATATGAACCGCCTGGAACTTAAAACTTAACAGGGTACAAAACATAAACGACACCAACCCCATACTTATAACGGCGTTTCGTGGTTTCCAATTTAAAAAGCTCGCGCGCTGTAAGGGTAGTTGCACGTACCATCATGCTTCACCGTTAGCTCATTTACAGCGACTGATAGTACATTTTCACGCATCTGTGACTTCACATGCCGTACCGACAGCATACGAGTAAAGCAAACGTACTTTACGGAGTTATTATTGGAGCGTGGACAGTGAGGCAGAAGTGTGTCTGGAACTTCAAATTACTGGCGACATCCTAGCCACATTAATACACCTTGATACAGATCCCATCAGCACGCTTGCGAAAACATTTCCTCGATCACTGTTCAGGAGAGCTGTAATAGCATGCTTTTTCTTGATGCTGATGATGAGCACTGATGAGTTTGAGCGGAGCGGCTGGATGGTGCCTGATAGGAATGTGTACAAAATGTTTTGATAGGATTACGATACATTTCACATTTCTTAATTACAATAAAGAGTCAGAATTGAGCTCCTCTGCAAAAGATAAAATGCAATCAATAATGTCATCCCTGCAATGCCATTAACAGCGCAATGCTGCACAATACAATGCTTTATTCAAAGCAATCCTCGATTAAATCAAGCACGGAGCACCGATTTAGTCGACTCTGTTTCATGCAGCGTAAAGTGTAATACCGTTTATGAAACTTTAGAATGTAGGAACACGCAGCATTAATCATCTTAACATATTTTCAATAGGTGGTGTCTGCACAGATTTGGAGCGTTTTCTGCATGCCGCGTGCCATAGTTTGTCATTGATTTTTTTGTTAAATCCCGTACACCCGTGACCATGGCACAGACTGCAAAGTCAAGTGTTCCCAACGCAACTAATGCTTGTTTGATAACACCATTTAACTAGTGCTTTCTACCGCCGTGAAAACAGCTACTTTCCGCACAAGAAGTCGCAATTAATTAGGTCGAAGAGTCAATAGCTCAAGGCCTTTCTTGCTTCTACAGCACTCAATTAATTCAGTTTTAAATTTCGCCATCCACATTGAATTACAAAGAAATCGTCATGTGTTTCTAACGTCCAAAAAGATGTCACCCAAGCCATAATGCATTACTGTTTAAAAGCGGGTCCATGCACAGTCTTCAAAGAGCGTAGCAATGCACATAATGCAGTTCTGCAGCTTCAACCCGTCCACATTCCCCGACGCTGGCATAATGGCGTGTGGTAAAGCGCGAGTTAAGAGCAAAATACAAACACAGGAAGAAAGAAAGGAGGAGATTGCCGAAAAAGAGAAGAAGCGACAGAGGGTGAATGACGCATACAAATTTTCCATATTTTAAAGCACATTGAAATGTCGATGCAGTCTTTTAACACGCTACACGTACGGCAGCTTGTCGTCAGGCATTCGACATAATCATATTATTTGCGGTCTCGTCGGCAACCGCCGAAAACAACGAGCCACTATTTTTCTGGTGGCCATCTCTTCTGCAGCTTGCTCCGTCTCAGCTCTCTTTTCCACAGACCCTCAGATGGTCTTACGGTCGTCCCAGGGATTACCGTCATTCTTATGTCAATCCAGGGCGATTTCGTGGATAGCCTGGGGGAATAAAGCCGGTGGGTGGGATTTATTTGCGACTTTGTTGACGGCTTTCTGGGGGAAAATACTTGCAGCGGCCATATTTCGTTCCGGTTTGGTCGAAGACGGCAACGTAGAAAACAACGTGTTTTATTTTTCGTATTTTCGAAACTGCCCACTATATTTTTTCAATAAACCGCATCGACTTTCGTCAGACAGTTAACTCCACAACTGTTGCTGGGCATTTCAAGCTGCGAGATTCACTGGCTGGGAGACAGGCCGAGCAATGCACAAGTGTACATCTGCTCCCGCACTTCATATGTCCTGTGTTTCACCACAGTCATTCGATTCCTCTCGACCCACCACGAGCGACCGCGCGCTCAAACGGCGTGGGTGCACAGCTCCCGCCTCCAACGCTGAACTCATGCCAAAAGCGGCCGAGGATCTGTCTTCGACAACCACTGAAGCGGAGGTAATAGCCAGATCGCCACCCCGTATTGATTTTCCCGGCGCCCTCTGCCCGAGCTGCTCGGAAATGACACGGTCGCGCCTCGTCAAAGTTCGCGGAAAATATGATCTCCGGACAAACGGTGGCTGATCAGAAGTCAGCAGACCGGGCTGGTTTAGCGTCGGCGGCCGGACGCCGGGCGTTTCATTGCTTCCGGCTGCAGTCTTCAACCTTTGTGCCATCCCATAAAGCTGCCACCCCGTGGTGGCTGCCGCGGAGCGGAGGGTTTATCCGGCGCTCCGGCCGGCTGCGCGTGACGTGCCGTCAGCGCTCTGTTTATGAGACGCTCGAACCGCGAATGTTTCAGGCGACTTGGTCACTGCCCGACGCGCCGTGTGGGTGGCGCTGGGCCCAGTGACGAAGTCGCAGTCTGTCAGTGGATAATAACGACTCTGTCGACTGCCACTGACGCTTTGTGAATCAAATCTGGGGAAAAGACGCTTTTGGTACATTTCGGAGGAAGGTTTCGACATTTTCACTGCTATCATCTGATTTTTGAAACTATATTCCTCATTATCTGAATCTATACAAACTAAAATGCAGCCCACAAACTGCAGCCAAACCAATACACGCACTGGCTGGCTCGTCGTTTAAAGTCAAACACAGGGACAGTGTAAAATGTGTACACGTTTGATTCAAGCTGTATATACCTACCGTGCACAGAGAGGTACTTACTTACATACCCCTTGTCGAAATCAGGTATTACACATATGTCGGTTGTCGTTTTAGCTCGTTCGGTTATCTACACGGTGCATATAATACGATAGAGGCTGGTTTGTACGCGCAGCTGCCGATCCTGACTCGATTCGCTCTCCAACGGGACACGAACGCCACTAATGATGTCCAGATTTGACGATGGCTCAGTGTGCCGAACGTCACCTGCCTGATCGGCCGTGAGACAACAGTGGATAAGGAGCAAAAAGCTGTCTGCACGTTACAAGAGTAACGCAGTGGACAGGCACAACAAAAAGGTGCAAGCCCACATGGAGATGGAAAACGTTCAACAGTGGACCAACTTTGGCGGCTCAAACTCGCCAAGTATCACAAAGCCCACCCAACACACGGAGGTGACAGACGTGCATTTACAACTGCCGTCCGCGCCCTCGCCAGAACTGAGACTAAAAGGCCTATCGCCGAGCTTAACACCTCTCGCCACCGCGTCCCAAATTTGGTGCGCGGGACGCTGCCCGTGCAGCGGTAATGGCATAGGGGCATGCATCATACGCATGTGCAGCGTGAGTGCATTAGCACCATGCACCGGGTACAACAGCATCGAATCGGTTTTTGAGCTTTGTGTTCATCTTGTCACACCACAAGCGCCGCCGCCACCCCGCCCGAGGAGGAATAATAGCCCTTTTAAGCAAGAGGGCTCGCAAACGCGCGCGAGGACGCACGAATGAAGACGGCGCCGTCTCTAGCAGACGACCTCCCTAGGAGCACGACGACCCCCCCCCCTCCCCCCCCATCCCCCCACATGCCAACTTGACGATCGTCGCTGGAAGAGATTACGCTCCGGGGATGTCCCTGCCAAAACAAAGCACGAGCCTCAGGGGGTGGTGCCTCGGGCGGCGGGGAGGGGGGGATGTAGGGCATCCCGCACCTCTCGCAGACCAAACCCCCAAAACGGATCGGGGTCACGTCGGAGGTCACAGTCCCGCTGGCGGGTGGATCCACGCGACCGTCTGTTCACCCCGCACCCATGACGGCCCGGCCCCGCGGACCTCCGGCCCACGGCGCGTGACGCGCGCCGTCCGGCGCCGGCCGGCTCCAGACCGGCGCCGCAGTCGGTTCGTCGAACCGCTGCGTCCGCCGCTCAAAGTTTGCTGAATGGTCAGGCTGTTGAGGTTCAGCACGCCAGAATGGCTGGATACAAAGACAGATTTATATATAGTTAATGTCTTAGGCCTGCAGTTTCACCTTCAATCGAAGCAGCTTCAGCCCCCCTCCCCCCCTTCCCCAGAACTTCATTGTCAGTCCCAGTCCCGAAAGGGCGTAGGTTTTATTCGGATAGAAACTGGTCTTCCATGAAAAATGACTGGTTCGATTCAACTGCATCTAGCTAGTTGCCAACCCTTATAACTACGCAAACCTGCAGCCTTAAATTCAAAGTTTTGATAGAAAAAATGTCACCAAAATGTACCAGATGCAACGCGGTACCATCCCATCACCCATCTGAGATCCACCAAGGTGACAGTGTTGGAGACCCCCTGGCTCGACATGGCCACTCAGCCCGCACCACTTGCTCAGCCACCCTTGGCGGTACTTCCTTCAATGCCCAGGGCGTGACCGCACGTTGTCCGGGGCATCGGCCTCCGCCCATGGCGCGGGTTTGCTGGCGTCCGCCGCTAAGTTCGCTCACAGCAGCCGCCTGCCCGCTGTACGTGATACTGCACCGTACAACGCGCATCGTTTCCCCGGCGGCTTTTACACGGCAGCGCGGATCAAAAGCGCTGGCGGTACAGCGCCGCCGGTTCAGGACAAAGTGCCGCTCGGTGTTGGCCGGGGATCGGTCGGCGGGACACACGCGGACTCCGCCGGAGCAGGAGCAGGCCGTGCAACCGCGCGGAAGGGCGGGCGCCCAGCCGCAGCCGGCAAAACACCGTAACGCTGTTATGACAGGCGCTGGGACGGCGCCAAGCGTGGCGCCTTCGCCGCCGCAGCAGCGCGACTCGCACCGGCCGCTGGCGCTCGAGGCCGCGGCGAGCAGTGGCGCAGCGAACTTCCGCCGGCGCCCCGGCCGGGATGATTGTGTGTCGAATGGCAGCAGCCGCCGCACCGTCCAACTTGGTCCGCGCTGATCAGTTCATCACAGCCGGCGGAGAAGTTCGCCGGCCCCATGCGTGGCGTGAATTCGG